AATTTAGCTCTTTCATCTCTATAACTATACAGGAATTTTAACGAAATCTTAATCAACACAGCAGGAGCTACAAAAGGGTGTCTCAAATTATTGCTATGGTATTCCATTCTCTCATAAATCTGTAATTAGTGTAAACATCCTTACCACATAAAAGTAGATAATGTTTGATTAGGTGTAAAATTTTATCTATACAATCTATCCGAAATCTGAGACACGCTTTTGTAGATAATGGCTCTAGGAACAACATATAATAAAATCAACTTTCTAGGGGTTACCATGAAGAAGCTAATTTCAATTGAAAGTGGAAATTTCTTGTAAAATTTTGTAGACACAGTTAACATTATAATTGATTACATAATTGTTGTATAATACTAACATTGCATTAATTTGAAAGAGTAATCTGTTAGCTATCCATAAATACCACTTTTATAAATTTTCAAGCATTATAAAGAAATTTACAGCATTTTTAAACTGGGGAATTGGAGGTATAAAATCTTTGTATTGTGCTACCTTAAGAACGTGTGTTACACATATTAAGCTATCGGCCACATATTTGTAAACTGCAAATAAAAATTATAACAATCTAACTTGCTTTGCTTGCAAGAATCTGACAACTCTCAATTTAAATTTTGGTTTTAAATATCTTTCGGGGTCCTCTGGTTTTGTCGTAATGTTACAAAAATTCAGGACGAAATTTTAGTTTGCGCAGGTTAAGATACAAGAACAGGGAGTAAAACTTTTACCTGAGTTTTGTCAGATCCTTGTAAATAAAGTTTGGACACAGGATCTGTATATAAATCAGATTGAAGTAATTCCAAACCTAAAATTCTTTTCAGATGACGCTTATGATGGTTGCTCCTCATAATTGCTACCTGTATACTGCAACCGGATCCCAGTTGACGGAAGTACATACCGCACACGGACTACATACCATGGAGGTATTAATCAATTTCAAACTAAATTTTTGTAACACATTTAAACACTATAGTGAATTTGAAGTATTTATTTAATTTCTACATAAAATAACAAACATAAATCATCTTTGAACATGTTAGTGAGTGAGAAAAATCCACCGCATACACACAAATTAAATATTTACTCGAGAGTTGTAAGTCATTGAACCAACAGTGTGATATAATTTTGGTATTAGTCATCTTATTTGTAAAATTAGGTACAGTACTATTTTATCGTTTCCTTTATATAAGTTTAACATATATTAATTAATTAGAAAAAACCTACGTACAAAAACGATGCGGCTAAGTCGTTGTTGAACTCTAAGTTAACCATTGGCTTTAAAAGAGGGGCGAAAGATACCAGAGGGACAGTCAAACTCATAGATCGAAAACAAACTGACAACGCCATGGCCAAAAATAAAAAGACAAACAGACAAATAATAGTACAAATGACACAACATCGAAAACTAAAGACTAAGCAACACGAACCCCACCAAAAATTGGGGGTGATCTCAGGTGCTCCGGAAGGGTATGGGGCAATAAGATTAGTTATGGGCAATACGATTAAATAATGCACTTTCGTTAACGTGACACGATGCATTGCTAAGTTAATTGGTAATGTATTTGGATGAAGGGAAATATAGTTATATGTCCAGGAGACAGTAAGGCAATGACACCCAAAAAAGACAAAATACCTCTTTGTCATTTCACAATCTAAAATAAACTTCAAAGTTTTATTTTTATTTTTCGAGTATAGCAGATAGATTGATAATACTTAACATTTTGTTTTTGGCAAGATTTGCCTTTACCAATATCGCTTTTCTTTCAGATGGAAGTGATACGACTAGTTGATGATACAACAACCACCCACACTACCATCTCACATGATGAACTTATGGCTATGAGCAAACCCCTAGCTCATACGTGTCATAACGCTAAATCTGTGATTACTAAGCTGAATTAAAGAAGTGAAATTAATTTGTATCAGTATTTTCTGTTGTATCATTCATTGTTTACTTCAACAAGTTATTGTGTTGTATTCGACTCCTCATATTCAAACGGTTAATGAAATATAATTAATTCTTTAATGATATGTGGTTCCAGTGTGAAAGTAGTAATATTCCCCTTTATTGGTTGACGATACTCTGACAAACATATAGTTGAATCTTATAGACAAGTACGTGGCTGGGTCACTTTTACATTAAATATATACTAAGTTATATCACAGAAAGAAGATATGTTGAACATTTTAGATTAAAGCATCGAAATAGATAATGTAAGCCCACTATTTTGAAAGTATGTGACCTTAGTGTGTCTTTATCACCTAGCAAATTCCAACCAGACTAGACACGTTACACTATACTTAATCAAACCCATTAAATTCCTTTAAAACTATAGGTGGGTCTTTTTGAAATTCATTTTTTAAGGACACATTTTTACGCAAACATAACTACTTATACATTGTATTTAAACTTTACCATGTTACTACTACATCAAGTCAATATAGTTTTAAACAATAGATCATCCATTCAGCAAATGCTACATGTAACTATTTAAAATGTGTTTTGTAAGGCACCAAGTAATAGGGAATCGATTGTGGTTATTTTTTTCGATTTTAAAAAATTACCCTTAAAAGAATCTAGCATAAGGTCAATGGTGGGAAAAGACAAAAAGGGTATCTTTATTGATCTGGGTTATAATTAGTTTCCCCAAACTCCGTACAGTGATCGTTTCCGTTCCGGATTTATTTTCCTTTACTCCATCATTAGTGTAGAGTAGTATGCAAATCGGAACTGGAACTACCGGAGAGTTTGTAGTTTCCCTACTTACAGCAAATATTTGTAATTAATAAAGTATCTCTAAAGAGGGGCTGTATGAAAGCTTGTGTTAAATAATAGTCGATACTCTAAATTTTGTTATTTACAATATCTTCACTCTCAAAATAACGCTTTGTAAATTTGGTTTGTTTTTTCCTGATTTACCATTAACGACAAGGATATATACATACATGTACGTGAATACATTCTAATTTGGATGACAAAAGTGACCACAAATGAATAGCAAAATCCATTGTAGGTAATTAACATTACCTGAAGAAATTGCTAACTTAGGGTTTCTTTACAATAATTATTTGTTTCAATAACAGAAATATTAATAAAGGTGTGTTATAAATCAACTCAGTATCGATTCACTGGGCTGATGTGGAGACTTAAAGTTCACCAACAGTAGTATCGACACATTTATAGCAAATAGAAATATAACACTTTTTCGATGCAAAGCGCCCGAAAAATTTGCCAAAATCTTAATTTAATTCGACAGTTTAAATCATCCTAGACTGATGGATTCTCGAAACACTAGTTCTTACATGCATACTACCAATGTATAGAGCAACCTTCTTTTTTCTTGATATCAACAAAAAAGAAGGGTACAATCAGAGGCTTGCAAGGATCTTAATGTGGACATCATACTTGTTTCTTTATATAACTTATTCATAAAACAGGTTGGGATTTGATTAATGATGAAACAGAATGACGTACGTATAGATTTGTTGCTTTTTCGTGATAGGTTAATCGCGGCGTGAACGATCGGTATACATCCCTTTAATGGACATGTTCAGATGACATTTTACCATCCAATCTATAACTACATATAGAGTCGGATAACACAAACAATGCTGAAAAACAAAATGGGTCTTTATCATGTTTAAACTGTTTTGATTTGAGCGCACACCTTTACGATGTATCTTTGTCTTAACTCACTAGAGACAATTTTTCGAAATTTAATTTCTTTAGATACCAGAATGCTTGTCTGATCAGAAAATTTAACGAGTGTGTCCTTTTCTAAATTGTGATGTTTTTACTGTGTGTGAATTCGCATGACGGGTGATGCATGCATGCCAGGAAACGTTCACTCTGTCTTACGTACTGAGTCACAATCATGTATGAGTTCAGGCGGTTTCCTTAGTGTGAGTTTGTGTTACCTCTTTTTGTATCTGCGCAATGCAGTTATGTAATTTGAACATCGGTACTGTTTCTTCTTATATATGTTTATTTTGAAATAAAGTTATACTGTAACTTAGTTGCAGCGTTTTAAAACACTTATTTTTATAGCGGACAACATTCAAGTCGCATCTCCACATGGGTTTTGTAAACCAGAAATATGATTCGATTGATTTAGTTCATTTTCGGAGCTCGAGGAAAAAACAGGAACAACATCATTAATCTACACAATTGGTTTCAAATTGGATGATTTTTCTTGCATCGTTTGATATGTCATATGACAATCAAATGAAATATGCGAACGTACAGTGTAAAACAGAAATTTGAATAATACTTTTTTTGAAAGATGAGCAATAAATTTGAGACAAGAAGATGATGAAGATGTAGAAACTTTGGTCACATTTTTCTTCAGATAAACTTGAAATTGATGTACAAAGGGGTTTACGAGATCTAATGATAATATATTCGCTAGTTGTTGGTATCAGATATTTCATTATACGATTAAAAACGCAGCTAGATTCAAAGCATACTATGAAAAACTAACTTACATTGGTCGCCGATCGGACACGAAAAGGCAACAGCAGGCTGTAATGAGATTAACAATTTGAACTTTAATCTAAACGTTAACGCAATAAAATAAGAATTCAACAAAATTAAATTTTTGAAAAAGAAGAAGCGACTTTTCCATACACACATTCCAACAAATCGGCTGCTAAAGAAATGTATCTCGGCTGTTATACGGAGAAAAATTTCAAAGGGATTAAAGTTTTGTAACTGCTCAGTCATACATTAGCCAGCTTGATAAATGATACATGTACGGAACAATAGATGAATCAGTCAGCAATTATTTTAATTCTGCATTTTCTAAATCAATTAACTATTGACTTTTCAAAGTGAACTCTGCAAGTGAATTATTTCAAAAGTGTGTGAACGATGTGCGCATGATTGGTGCATAACAGGTTGAGAACTACCAGCACTAAGAGAGAATTCAAGTGGCAGTCGAAATATATTTACTAGTACTTCACAAAAGTGCGTATTTTTTAGCCGTACAGAAAACTCCTGGGTCAAATTAGTGATGCATAGGGTTGTAGGGTAAACACTGACAATGATAAGGCTAATGTTGGAAAAACCAGCTGATATATCTGGGGTAAGATTTTTAAGCGAAATGTAGAACCAATTGAACTGAAGTGATCACCCTAAGTGCCAGAGTAAAGTAACCCGCGTTATGAGCTACTAGAGACACACAATTGCGTGAACCTAGATAACGAATAGACTACCTTTGTCCATCAGTCTTTGAAACTATGATCCTAAAAGGACATTGAAATGTCCACTGATGTCATCATTTTGATTAAGCATTATCATTAGGTCTTTTTTTTTTAGAAATATTTGAGCTTTTTGCTTATGCCTCGCACTCTGAAGTATAGATTAGCTCTATATCGGAGCAATGACTTCGATCTAAGTATCTATGAAAAGTTTATTTGTTCTAGGCGTCTGAAAAATTCAGCAAGTATTGCAGCTTAATGTCAATGTATGAAGAATGTCTTTGCTATGTCAACATTTTCCACGATCAATTCAACAAGCGCAACATGTAGATTCTGCTTACCCTTCCAAAGTATTTGTGCCAATCCATGGTTATTTTGTTGATTTATGTTGATTGGTTTTGTGACCTTTTTACTGTTGCGTAGGCTACTGTTTATCGTTTTAACAAATATATAAAAATGGTGTGCCCTCAGTCAAATTTGACATTTTATTATATCGATATTCATTTTATGTGCTTTCGGTCATTTCCTTCTACATGTTCTAACGTGTGTACTTATACTTATTATAATATGGTGTTGTTATTACAATTCCATCGATATTTTTATTGTTGAGTAGACAATAATGTCTTTACAAAATCTGCAATAATGATAACTAATCGATAAATAAAGCTTTCTATTATATCAAAGATCGATGAAACAAAACCCACATTTATGCAACTCACCAGTGATGTGCTTACCGATCTAAGCAAAGTACTCTTGTATCGATGCTTAAAAAAACAGTTCAAAGATACCAAATGGATATTCAGTCATAAGTCAGTAAAAAACAGAAAACCAAGAAAAGACATAAAACAGTGCACAAAACACATCATAGAAAAACTAATTACTGAGATATACGAACCCCTCGGAAAACCGGGAATAAATCAAGGTGCTCTAAAAGGGTAAGCAAATCCTGCTCCACATGTGGTACCCTCCCTATTGCTCATGTTAGTACAACACCGGTGACTATGTAGGTCACAATCGAGGAAAAAAGGACAGAATTGTTGTTACACCAATTGGAATATATGGTATTGGTTTTGTTCATTGTTGAAGATCGTTAGGTGACCTTTAGTTGTTAACTATGTCATTTGGTAAGTGGTGGTCTTATTGGCAATCATATCACATCTTCTTATTTTTATATAGACGTCGTCTTCTGTGAAAGACAAATCATCATAGGCACCAGAACTAAACTTTTGACCGCCAGACACGCGTTTCGTCTACAAAAGACTTATTAGTGACAATCGAATCATAAAAGTTCAAAAGGCCGAATAAACTAAGAAGTTGAAGAGCATTGAGGACCCAAAATTAAGAAAAGGTTTTACCAAATACAGCTTAAGTAATCTATTCATGAGGTAGAAAACCTTCAACATTACGAAAAATTCTAATTAAGTTTTATAAACAGTAAATTTATAAGTATGACCATATCAATGATAATCCATGTCAACACAGAGGTGCTGATTACTGGGCTGGTGATACCCTTGGGGATGAAACATCCACCAACTATGGCATCGACCCACTGGTTGTACCATAATAGATACCAGGATTAAAATTTTGCACGCTAGACGCGCCTTCAAAACACTCATCGCTAAAAAAGAAAAATAAACTATGAAGTTGAAGAAGCATTGAGGACACAAAATTCTGAAAGGTTTTGTTAACTCTTGACTCAATAGCTACCTTGTAACCAGCAGTTTTCTTTCAATGAAATCATGGTAAGAAATGAAAATCATAACACTTATCCTTAAATTTGTGAATATATAAACCTCATTTTGTGTTGAAATTAAGTTTTAATTTCAATGATATAGCCGGTAATTATCAACAAGATAGACCAACGTTTGAAGACATCAAATGGACACCTTCACATAGTGACATAATGTCCATTAGGGATTCATTAATTTATTTTCGTGGGTATCAATTTTCATAGATAAAGAAACTTGTATTTTATTTCGTTGATATTTGATTTCGTGGTTTTGACTAATTCTGGTTGTAACCTTTTAGAGAATTTGTCATTGCTTGAACATTTAAATTTGAAGCTCACCTGAACCTACAAAGTTAGCGAAAAATTGGTATTCAACGCATAATAAGGAGTTCACAGTATAACTTCTTTTTCAAACTTTCATAAGTTCATACTTTGTTTCATTGCAAAACAGGAAAATGAAAGAATCAGCTTCTTGTCGAAAACAGTTTCCCAAATAACTGACTACAAGAATGTCAAGAGTTTCATTCATTAACATGATTAACATATTGTACAATGAATACTGATTCAAAAGAGACACAGAGTCTAATGTTTTTGTGTAAATGGACTTAAAACGTGGACAAAAGACTCTTGGTGAACTAAATGTTTGTTAGGTTTGTTGTATGTATTTATTTGATCGACACTAGTGAGAGGAGACAAGACGCCCGTCTATAGTTTCAAATTAGAAGACTGGTACCTTTGATTAGTTTTATATATAATATGATTTTTGGTCTCAGACTTTTATGCTCTTTTTACCATCATAGTATGATCATAAATAACTACCAAAAAAAATAAGATTCAACAGATAACGAATACTTTAAGTATATATTTTTTTCATGGCATATAACAAATTAATACTTGATTGATTAATCTTTATTCGTATTTAAACTGTTAGGTGACACATTCAACGATTGTTTTCTGTTGTCTTTGCCTAAATTGATGGACGAGTATGCTGCTTCTTTCCACAGGGGCTCTTTGTAGTTTTGGGATCTGCTGTAGTCGTTGTTGGTGCAGTTGTTGTTGGGCATACTTTTGGGATGGTGTCACTCGTATTACAAACTTTTCCAGGCGGGGAACATGCTGATGGTCTAGTGCAGTCTAGCGACAGTGTGGGGGTAGCTGAAAGTACATTCGAAAGATGTTTTCTATCTTTGTTTAACTACGCAAGATTCGACAACAGATCTAGAAATAATGATGATAATTATGATGATAATGATCATATTTTTTTTAATCATCTAATAATTTTACCTATGATAATTCTATCATTTCGCTTATAACCATTGTAATTTTGATAATAAAACTAAAGATAATAATAAAAATATTTAAAAAAAAAATCAGCTTTAATAACATTTAAGAAATATAAAACACATTTATTTTTGGGTTTATAATTTCAGACAGCCAAACAATTATGTTTGTAACATACTTACACGGTGGTCCCATTGCTGCAAAAAAAATTGTACCGGTCAATGAACCATCTTTTGAAAATAAGTCATTAAACAGAATTTCATTTTTTCTTCGACTGCTTCGGTACATAATTTATAACCAATAATAATTTTTACATACGTCGAACTTATCGATTCCAGTTACTATTCAGCAAATAGATAAACAAACAAACTAGTCGTTCTTTTACCATATATCTTCTGTTTAGTTCTTTTTTACGTGGTGATTTATATATATTTCTTCTTTAAGCATTAGTCGTTCTGGCCATTTTTTTCTTTCAAATTTTATTGGAACCCTTAGTAATGAAAACAAATCTAAAATTCGTGACTTATTAAAGAAAAGAATTTATGATTCGCTTAGAATTAAGGAGAAACACAAAACCTGAAAAAAACAGTGGGCGGTGACGCATGATAAATCAGAATCACGTGATATGTATTATTTACTGATGTCATAAAAAGGGAAATGGTTAACAATACATTACCCATAAACACTAAGGTGTCAAAGCCAATAACGAAAAATGATAAGAAACAAACAACAACATACAAAACACAGCATAGAAAAAAAACCTCCATCAAAATCTTTGGTTGATCTCAGATGCTTCAGAAGGAAAATGATTTCAGTAACTATCTTCATAGATAATTTACAAATGGACTTTCTGTCGTATAACTTTTGTAATGTTCTGGACTAATATTGGAATCATAACCAACAGATTAGAATTTCATTACTAATCCATTATCAGTGTTTTGTAGAAATGTGTAATTTATTCTGTTTAGAAAAACAAGCGCGTTTAAGACTATTATAAATTGATAGTATATACATAATAAAGGAACCAAACAGCCAAAACATGCAAGGTCCATGCTTTGTTTTTAAGATATAAGCAATTAAAACTTTGGCCGGAAACCATTTTCGCTAGATTGTTCATTATTTTGACATTTTTCTTTCAACAACTATGAAAAATAAACATGGATTTTATAAGATTTTCAAAAATGGCATTTTGAATAATATGTAATAAAATTAATAAAAAATAGGAGTTAATGGGTAAAGTTTTTAATAGCACCACATTTATAAAACCAGAAGATTCCGAACATCTGATTCAAAGTAAAAAGCAAGATAAGCGAACATGTTTATAAAAACGAGTATACACATAAAATGTTCTTACCAGAAACTGCCTGTATAAAACGCGGCTCTTTACAAAATTCACATAAATCTGTAAATTCTCCTGTCTGGTTTAAAGAAGAAATAAAATCTAAAAAAGTGTACAAATTGTTTGTTATTAAGAACATGTATTTCATGATGTACATGTAGCGAACTTTTATTGGCCGAAGGGTTTCTACAAAATAAATTCGAACATACATGATGAGAAAGCTAAATATGCTAGATATACTTATTGGAGATGTTATGAGACGATTAAAGCATTAAATTTTCTCCTTGACAACATGTATGTACGTTTCGGCAATAAATTTTAGGTATTCATATGGGCACCAATTGTGCCTCTCTTATAGCAGACTTGTTCCTTTACTCTTATGAGTCACAGTTTATGGCCAACCTCTGAAAAGAACCGTCTAAATTCCGTTTAAATGATAAATTCAACAACACTTACCGTTATCTTGATGTTTTTGTTAGACAATGTTAGATGTATTTCTATTTGTATCCATCTGATGAGTTAAGCCTTTATCAATCGATTTTTATAGTTTGTTCTTTTGTTGTACTGTTACACTACTGTCCGAGGTTAAGGGGAGGGTTGAGCGCTCATAAACATGTTTAACCCCGTCACATTCTTTATGTGCCTGTCCCAAGTCAGGAGCCTGAAGTTCAGCGATTGTCGTTGGTTCAATTCTGTCATATTTGTTTTTCGTGAGTTTATTTGTTATAAATTAAACCGTTAGTTTTCTTAATTGAATTGTTTCATATTTTTCATGTCGGGCCTTTTAAAGCCGACCATACGGTATGGTTTTTATCACTGTTGAAGGCCATACGGTTGCCTATAATTGCGTACATCTACTTCATTTGAACTTTGGTGGATAGTTGTCTCATTGGCAATCATACCACACCTCCTTATTTTTATATAGAAACAATACCACACATACTTAGCATGATATATTGTTTTGTTATCTAAATATATATTGTACTTCATTATGAATTAATATTTATTCAGAGTTTTATACTTTTTATATGCTGCCACAAAAAATATGTCTGACATATGTATAACTTGGCGTTAAGCAAGCAACCTTCAATCACATTGTTTGACATTAATGTTGACATAAAAAGAGTCAAAAGAGACCAAGGGGACATTCAAAACTCACAAGTTGAAGAAAAGTTGTCGACGCCATGACAAATACTTACTAAAAAAAAAGAGACTTATCATGAGCAATACGAATCCCTTTCAAAATCCGGGTTGAACTCGCGTGCTCCGGAAGGTTGAAAATTTCTTACTCCACATAAGGCACTCATCGTGTTTCTAAGGCAAGTACAAATCAATCAATTCCATCTTCATGCCTAATATATCATTACTGTGTTACAACTAAAGATTCTACTGACGAGGAAAGGTAACACTAGGCCTTTTTCTTCCCTCGCCGGCATTCGAACTCATGCTATTGGGACATCGAGACAACACCGCCTGCACTGTGTCCAACGCTCCAGACCACACGGCCACCTAGACTGAACTATAATTCAGCTTTCGATGGCCTAGTGTTACCTTTCCTCGTCAGTAAAATCTAGAGTTGTAACACAGTACATGGTATTTCAGACATGAAGATGTAATTGATTGCAGATTAGCAAAATATCCATCGTAAAGGATCGTGAGATACAATCACAGAAATAATTGTTTTGATAAATACGTCTAAACAAGTGACAATTCTACGACAGATCCATCCATTGGATCACCAGTAGAGGTGATTCACGGCTGAAAACACATATTATATTTATAATTACTCTAAATATCAGCACAACATTTTAAATTTGCACATTGGCGCAAGCAAATTTTTTTTTTCCCTCGCCGGGATTAGAACTCATGCTATTGGGATATGGAGATAATACCGCCTGCTTATATATAAACTATGCAAGTAATTCATACTATGGAATAACGCATCGTTTAAAGATTTTGTTCAGCAAAATTTAAAACTATTTATTATTTTAATATTTGTGAAAGGTGCTACTCATGATAGTTGAGGACGTATAATTTCAAATATCTAATTACTTTGAGAAATGCTTTTGATTATATTCTTCATGTATAGAGAAATCCTGTCAGAATTATTATGTTTGGATTTTCTATTGATATAAACATGCATCATAAGGATATCTCAATTACTGAACTTTGAGTTTGTAGAATATGATACCATAATAATTAGACCAACACCATATAAACTTACTCCAACCTCCCATTATAAACTTCAGAGGACTTTCAGGATCAAAAAAATCGTGAGGCAATTAAAGAAGTCACTATCACCTTGCCTAAAAAAAGTGTAGATATCATTAGTTTATCTTGTTAAAAGTATGAATTACCTTACTTGCCTATACATCATGTACATTATTTTGTATTTTATTTTATGATTTTTACTTTTGACTTACACCGGCCTTAACTAGTGCAATACATTGCATGCTGTATAATGAATCTGAATTTAACAAATATATCTTAGAAAAACCAAAGTCCAACTCATGTTATTGATTGGCATATAACAGAAGGTTTAATTGGTGCATAATTGTCGCATTCTGTGAGTTCGATTTGATAGAAGGTATTTAAAATTACCACGAGGCAATAAAATCAATAGAGAAAGACAAACATACGTCATGACAACAAAGATAAAAATAATAGATAAAAAAGAATTTTCAGAAAACAATTGAAGGTCTTTCCAGCGGAAAGGACATATAACGATATGAAAATATAAAAAAATTAAAATCTGGTTTAAAATGTCATTTACACTGTCAAATGATATATTGCTTTTACACACTTTTGTATGAAATAAGAGTGATAATTTGTTATTTCCAGTGTGTTACTTGCAGTATTATTTGATGGTTTTCATGACAATGATTCCAAACATATACGGTTCTATATACTTTCACATTAAATGAGTACAAAAATAGCAACTTCTTGTTAACACAAGTTCATTTCCGGTTGGCTTTTTTTCAAGATTACATGACTTGTAACCTTATGTGACAAGTCCCTTGGTTTTATAATGAAACAATAAGATGTTGCAGCAAAGGTCAAAATATAACGTCAAATTAAACGATGACCTTGGCTTTAATTTCAAAGTCATAAACACAGGACCTCAAATCAAAAGACCCTAGGTCTTTATAACATATGACGACTGAATCATATCACCATACGCGTAAAGTAAGCATAAGAGGGGAGAAAGCTCCAATTTAATGTCAACGTACCCTTTCAACCAAAATCATAAAGTCATAAAAGTCAAAATCAAAATTTATGACATGACCTTGAATATTGAACTTGACCTAATTTTTCTTTCTTTTTTTTTAGATCAAGGACTTCAAATTAAAAGATTTACCAGTTAAAAATGCATATCACTAATATGAAATGCATAAGGGAAAATAACTCTCATTTATCGTCCTCCTCTACGCCTATATCACCCTGCTCAGTTGCTCCGTAATTCTCGTATCACAGCTTTGAGACGTGAGCAGGCATTATCAGCGACGTCAAAATGTGTGAATCCATGGAATATGCCATGGTAAAATCAATAATATAAGTCTCAGATAACACAAATAGGGAATTGAAAAAAACTAAATCAACTGAAAAATCAATAAAGCAACATGCAAGTTTTTAACATTGAACAGTAACTTTCTAATCACTCGAAGCCTTTTTGGGATAGATACTAGAAGATACGCCTGATATTTTGATCTTTTCCTCGATATCGAGTTCGTCTGATTCTTAAGTTTTTGGTTGTTACTTTCATTTGTCTCTTTTTAATCGATTTACGAGATTTGAAAATCAATAAACTATTGCCGCCTTTATAACGCTTAAATGTTTTTTTTCTTTTTGTTTTCTTTCAGTATTTACTTGTATCTTCTATGAATTACAATTATCAATTTTTCATTGGCATATTCTACTGATATGATTTTAAAGCCTGTCATTATCGTTTGAGTCTAATTTATTGATCTGTTCTTCCAACTGTCCAAAATATTACATCAAAGTGAAAATATATGTACCACTGTATACATACATTTTTGGTACGCAGCGTCTCTCTGGATTGACTTATATTTGCCGAATGATAAATACAATATAGGACGATCACAATCTGGAATCAAGTACGAAATGCAATGATTTTAGTTTTCACTGCAGTGTTTTGTAGGTTGTAGCTTGTACTTTCTTCTTTTTTCCGTTTTTTGAATTGAAGTCTGTCTTTTGCAATATAATGATATCTGTCTTTTTCAATTTATTTTATTAATCTGTATTTTTGTAATGCCTTTTTATCCTTTTCTTTACATTGATTAAACCTAAAACAACTGAGTTGTTACATTATAATGCTTTATGCTCTTTTTTTTTATTTAGAATAAGGACCTCAGACAGTGCATATATTTTTACATTTTCAAATATATGTTAAAGTTTTGAAAGTTGGAAGATAAGTAAATAAGACTCAAACGATCATTACAAACCATACTTTTGAATAAACCTTTTTTATTTTAGAGTTAATTGAAAAAAAATAGATTAATCAAATCAATTTTGACATCAAGGTACATTGCATATTAAGTTACCGCAAAATAAGAAATCTTTCTGTTATTTGAAAACAACTGTAGTTCAAAGATTCTTCTGAGTCCCCTATGGTACTCGTTCTACCATCAGCATTAAACGTCATATAATTAGAAGAAGTATCACGAAATGTTTGATTGTGCCATGGACAGGGAAAATAACACGGAAATTCCGTCATGCCTGGAATAAAAGTAGATTAATGAATCCAAATAATGCATGTAATGTATAGATAAGGTCAAAGAAAACAGAAAGGCGTGTCGGCCCTTGAATATAAATTATATGGTATGCATTGTCTCTAATATAAATGTGTTTGTACAATGCTTAAAAGCATATAGAATTAGAGGCTTTGCTGATCAGTTTTGCTGTATCGAGCCTAGTACAACTACAATTTATATTTCGAGACAATATATATAGTTATTTTGTTTCGATTGTATCTTACAACCGTTTCAAATGGAAAAGTTTGTGTTGAAAACATTAATTTTGAATCTTAAACGTCCGCTTATCTGTATTATTCATTAAATCTACAGGAACGCGTTTTC